TGACTCGGCTGTTGCAGCTCTACCCTCCCCGACTCAAACCCCACCCAGAGATGCATGTTGCAGACTTTACTAAAACCAAAAGGAATTTTCTTTCTTTCTTCCTTCCTGTAAAGGCAAACAAGAGCCTTTAAACAGAAATGGCACGGGTAATGGCATGCTTCGCCCATTCAGCTGCTTCTTTAATTGTGTGGTCGTCAGAGGACAAACACTCATTTAAGAACTCTTTACTCGACACAGACTGTTGAATCAAACCACCCACATGACTCCCTAGTGTATCTGCTAAATCCCCTAACACCCCAATCGCTGTCTTCATCACCACCTCGTCCCTGTAACAACACCATTTATCACAGCATTATTATTAGCAACACTTTATGGATTTTATATGCAACAGCTGATATATAATAAAAGTTTGGTTGAGAACAAACTTACATGTCTTTCTCCATGTATATGCTGTCCAAAAACTGGAGGATATGAGGTGCGTATGGAATCAGGAGCTGGGTTTTGGGAGAGTTCTTGAACCCTTGAAAGATGCCTGAATAAGCTTCAAGGATTCCGTTTCTTAGAGAGTTTGTGTACTCTGTCATTTCGTCATCAGCTCCAGACGCATGAGCAGATAATTCCGCTGCACTCTGAAGCATCGGCATTGAATACATCAGGTACTTCTCGAAATTTTCCCCGATAGCAAGAGCTATGTCGCCAAAGCAGGAGAATATCGGCGGCTTCACTGATCGGTGCAACTGGTTGCTGGACAAATCCTTCAGAAGCTGCGTCATAATCCCGTCACAGTAAGGTAAAATCTTGTCTTCCAATGCTCTGCAGCTATCCCCAACAACACCCACAGTAACAGCACATACTTGATATTCTTCAAAGTTTTGAAGACCCATTTCCAAGTACTTGTAGAACTCAGGCATGTACTTTGCGAAATCAGGACCTGCTGCATAAGCAAGAGCGCCAATGGCAAGCATGGCTTCCTCGTGCGCAGTTGCACTTCTACAACCAAACACCCTCAGGAAAAGTCCCATCATTTGATCAGCATACTGCATGAAAACATACTTGGTTGGTTCAGAACCCAGTTTCTGAATGATGACTTGCAAGCATCCACATAAAAGTCCCTGCAGTTCATTTTGTTTCTCCCTTTCGTCCGATGAAAGCTTTTCCCCTTCCAATGTATTGTGAAGCTCCAACATTATCACAGGTACTAACTGCAGAACCATGGTTGACGTTTCATCAGTCGAGCACCTGACAACTTCATTCAAAGCCTCATATGCTGCGGTCCGCAAGCGTGATTCAGTTGCGTCCTCTCTATGTGCAACAGCTAGAAGGGACTGAATAATTTCCTGGAAGAAGGGTGTTAATGGAGAGTTGGGACCGATATCCTCATAACCTTGAGCAAGAAAATACAGAGCTCCACAAGCCTTCTCTGCAACATTAGGCGCATCTTTCATGGTCTGGATCAGTACTGTGATAATCTGCTGACAGTTTGCCTGGGTAATTATGGGTGTCTCGATTGTTGAACCATGAAGGAACTCAAATATCCGACCAAGGGTCCATGCAGTTGTGTCTTTAACATGGTTGCTTGGGTCCTTCGTTAGAGCATTGAGCATAAATGTTAACGCAGCGTTAACAATTGTCATCAACTTATCAGCAGAAGGGCCCTCCAAAATGGAACCAAAAGCATAGGTTGCAGCTTCGCGCTCTCTCCAGTCAGGCTTTGATATTTTCTCTTCAATGAACGGCATGACATGTGGAACAATGTCATCTCCAACTGCCCTAGCAACCAACCCAAGGCATGTCCCACCAGCCATTGCAATATTCCATGCCCCTTCATCCAAATCCTGATCTTCTTCTTGCTTGAGAAGAGTCTCCAGCAGTAGAGGCACAAGCGCAGGGAGAGCCTGCTTCGTGAAATAGAAGCATGGAACATCAGAATCCCCGGTGAACTCACCCCCATATTCTTCTAAGATGTCAATCTCCTCGTCACAAATAGAACTCCAAAACTCAATTGCCTGTAGAGCAACAGATTCGTCATCTTCTCTTACAGCCTTAGCAGTGATGTTGAATATATCTTGCATATAATGCGCCAACTTCTCATAGTATGTTGAAGCAATCGATACTAAACACTCAAAAGCTGCCTGCCTTATTTTCACCTCAGGGGACAGTGTTGCTTCACACACGACTCTCATGATATAATCACGCTCCATGTCATTGTTGAAATTTGCCTGGGCGAATCCCAAAGCCATGTACAAAGCACGGGTTGCAGCAAGTCTAACATCATTATTTCCTTCAGCGGCGTTCATACCCTGAACAACAGCTGTGAGTATCTTATTTACATGTTCCTGTTCTACAACATCAGGTGACACTTCTTCACATAGGTATCCAAGGGTCTCCAAAGTAGCTTGCTTGACATGAGCTGGTAACTGATGAATGTTCGAGAGAAGAGATCCAATCAGCTCAGGCCACTGCTTCTGTGGCAACTCAATACCTGCAACCTTGGCAATGACCTGAGATGCAGTTGAACGAACATCTGGTACAGGAGAGGAAAGTGTCTTCAACAAGAATGCTCTGATCTGAGACTTTGTTGACATGTCTAGAGACAGCCATCTCTGGACAAGCTCATACTTCCTGTGTTGCTCCTTAGCATCCAGAGCGTTTTTAAGGACTAAACCGGCTAACTTCCTGCTATCCACTGGCTTATCATCATTAGCGAGCTCTCCAGCAAGCGACAACAGAAAGCCTGCAAGGTTTTGCTCTTGAAACTGTTTGAGACTTTCTTCAGCGTGCTTACGCACAGTTCCATCAATCGACTGAGCATTTATGAGCAACTGGGTAACCTCCATTGCAATTAGTTTATCTGCAATAATAAAATTCAACACATCAGATTTAGCAAAACTAAAAACAATACTTTCTTCTCGTCAAAATTCTCAAAACAGCAAGATAGTTGCAGTAGCATTAAATCAACAAAAAAAGCTTCGGAAACATGATAATAACACATCAAACAACAACCACAAAGAAATCTGGATCAATCATGACACTATACC